GCTTTTTCCCTTCTGCCTCCCTCCAGAAAAAGGACCGTAGCTCAAAGTAGAACACCAAAGCAGTAACAGCCACCACCATCACCCCAAGCTTGTGATAATGCCACAAAGGCAAAATAGTACAACAAAAACACTGACTTTGCATGTAAAAAAAAATTAATTTAACCTAATCTGGGCCAAAGAACACTGAAACATCTTCTTCATGACAACATGGTTAATTCCTAACATCACTGAACAAGAAAGGGAAGTTCAAGTCCCTGAGAGTATTGCTACAGTTATATTAACTTTAACCTTTTAAAATTTCTTTTAAATGTAACTGTCTACCTCATGGGGCTTATGACACTGTGACTTGGAACAATTTAGCATGCCTACTCTTTATTTTTAAACATGCGTGTATCCATGTATACACACAAGCTCAAATCCATCTTAATGGGATTTCCCTAGTCTTCAAAACTACCAGGAGAGCTACACAGCCATACATGGAGCTCCAGCCTACCAACCCATCAGGAGAAGAGGCCCTGCAGCTGGCCACAGCTACAGCAGTGATGGCCACAGCTGAGCCAGGGTCCAGACAGGGGCCCAGCCCTCCTCCCATCAAGCCACCAGCTCCAGAACATACCTTGGCACACACAGCTGCAAGGAAGGGTGGCTATTGCTCCTCCACACATTTATCTTGATCAGTAGCCTATCTGCAGGCTGGCTAATGCCAACAGACTGTAACCACTGATAATGGACCTTAATAACAAACTGGTGTGTTAAAGCAGTGTAGCAAATCTCAGACATTTTCTTCCATCTTTACAGTTATTCACAGTGAAAAAAACATTTTTTTCCCTCTCATAATTAAAAATTGTAGTGTCTTATTAATCAAACTTGTTAATGAAGCAACTTGCAAGTTGTCTGAAAAATTCACTTGGCATGCAAAGTCCAAGGCTTACAAATTTAGGGAATTCATTAGGCTATCTTCCTTATGTAGGACAAGAGGAGTTAACTCTGCTTTTTACACAAAATAGAGCCTCTGATTCATCACTGCACCAACTGACTAGCACAGTAAGACCAATTTAGGCAGTCTCTAACAGACTACAGAACCCAAACCAAACAGTCAACAAAATGAGACCAAAAACCTGTGCTTTTGGGGGGTGGGGGGATTCTTACCAGCCATAAATCATCAACTGCAGGGCCTTCAGCTGTTGTTTGTGCAGTCACACTCCCCTCGTCAAAATCACTGGAGATCCAGAAGACAACTTCAATGCATACTCCCAATTAAATAGCTCGTTTGGATCTAATACAATGTTTATTGACTCCTGGACCTGTATTGATTCTGAATAGGCTACAGCTAAGGTTTAGTAAATGCCTTGGAGATAAATCAGCATGCAGGTAATAAACTGCAGATCACATAAGCAAACATTACTTAATTATATTCCTATTAATATATTGAGTCTGTAATGAATTTTTGAGGCATTTAATTATCAATTTGACAAGATAATCTAGGGGTAGTTAATGATGGACCAGGAAATTGTTAAAAAAACACAGACACTTAATAAGTCTCCTAACTGACACTGAATTAACTTGCTTTAGCTGTCTGGTTAAATAGACAGCAGTTAATTACAGAGTGCTTAGGCAGTCTCACAATTTTAATATATGACCCTCTTTGCTGTGCAGTAACCATACAGCAGGGGACGTGGGGTTTTCTCCATGTATTTCCTTCTGATGGCTGAATTATTGGCTGCTGTAACCACTTTTGCCTTCAGTAAGATTCAGCAGTTAGCCCTTATTATTAACAAATACAATGGACCGTTCCCTCTCTTTAATGATCAGAAATCATTGTGTGTTTTAATCCCTCCAGGATTAACAACAAATAGGGAATTTCTCTTACTAGGAGGGGTAACAGTTTGGAAATGGAAGCAGCCCCCTCGAGGCTCCAAGAGGTCCCTGGACAGGCAGACATCAGCTAGATACCCTGGCTAGCCACGGATGTCTGAGTTTTGCTGTCTACATATTCATGTATATCCAAGAAATGCTCTACCCAGTGCAGAAGTGCAGCTCCTTATTTGGATAAAATCCGACACTTCACTGCAACAACGGGATCAGCACTGACTCATAGCAGGATGATCACTTGCCATAGTGTTTTGGGTGCATAAAAAAAATTAAGGGAACAGAGCCAGCCAAGGCAGCTCCAGAGACAAGCATTAACAGTTCATCCCAGAGGTTAACAAATAAGGGTAACAAGTAGTAATAGCTGTGACACCTTCTCTAGGAGTAGCCTCAAGCTACACTGGGGAAATGCAGCTTCCTTGAGCTGGGGAAGTGGTGGCACTAGCTGGTTTGAAATGTAAAACACTGCTGATAATCCCGGGCTGTGCATGAATAAAACATTGTAGATCCTTAATCGACTGGAGAAAATACTCTTCTTTAAGAAAAAGACATTTCAGGAAGTAGAAGCAGTGTTGTTTGGCTTCAGGAGTTCAGAGGCCTGGAGTCATCAGTCTCTCCTATCATTAGCTTCAAGAGAAATTTTCAAGTGCTGGTTCTTTTAATTTATTTACTTTGGGGAGCCTTTGAGAATGAAGCCTTTTTCCACAGTAATTCTGCAGCCTAAAAGATCTTTCTCCAAAAATAAATAAAAACATTCATGCAATAGCACAAATCCAGGAAGAAGGGCTTAAAAAAGCCACCAAATATTTTTGCTGTTGGAAAACTTGAGCAGAAGCCCTAGGGACCTTTCTTCAGCCACACATTTGCATGGCAGTGCAATGACACCAGCAACATCATTCTGCTCCAAAAGCCCTCAGCAGCTGTGGTAGTGTTAAGTAGCAGGGTTAATGGGCAGAGTCGTTCCATCACAGCCTCCTGAAGGTACAAATTCAGTGGAGACAGCCCTCAGCCTGGGAACTAAGAAGTCCTTGTGAAATCTGTGTCTCTAGCGGCTTTATTAAAGTCATGTCATGTTGTGCACAGCTAGGCCAAAAAAGACTGAGCAGGGCTGTTTCAAGGCACGGTTCCCAAGGCACCATTCTCCAGCTTCACCCAAGTGAGAAAAATAAAAGTTTCTCTCACTTCTGGTTGAGGGCAGCTTGGACACCTGAGGAGGCTCTGATGGCTGCTGAGGACATCCCAGTCTTCAGCTTGAGCAAAGCTGCTTCAGTGCTCCTGCAGGCCCGTTCTGCCCAAGGAGGGCAGGAAAAGCCAAAGGAATCCTTGCCACATCCAAAGCATTGGTTCCTACGGGTTTATCAGTGACACAGAGAGAGGGAAAGGATCATGTCTTGGCCTTTTGCCCAGCGCCCCAGAATCAGCACTGATTTGTCATCTACTGACCTCCCTTCAAGAGGTACCGGGTCATTTCAGGGCAGATCACCATTAGGTCAAACATCTACACTAAGTCTCCTCTGAGAGAGGGAGCAGTAGTTGAGGTAGGAAGGAATTCACAGCCCTTCAGTTTGAGCTGCAGGTGAGACCTTGGCAAATTCACAGACCATTCCCTCAGGGCAGAGAGGGGAAGCAGAGCTGAGTTTAACCCCTTGCTCTCTGAAAGAGAAGGCACCACTTTCCCTGCACTGACACCAAGCCAGCGAGGTCACTGGCAGGGCTGTGCTCTGCAGGATACTTGCTCATGCCCAGTTGTTTTGGGCTTTCCAGTAGAGAAACTATTTTGCCAGAGCTGTTGTCAGATTTACCACCAGCTCTGCATGTGGAACTCAGCACATGCATCACCAACATGCTGTGGTAACTCTTAAAATGCTCTTTTGGTCCCAGCACCCCTTGGGATGTCTAAAAACAGGCACAGCCTATGGTGATTTTGGATGGGCTGGTGATGGAGCTGTTGGCCATGGCATGCAGCCCTGCTCTGGCCTGGGAGGTTAGATCCTGGCCCTCAGGATCTTTGGTCAGTGCTGCTGTGGTCCAGAGCCAACCGAAAGTTGATGTCCTGCTCTCCAAGACTGTTGCTTCCTCTGATGTATCCCTGTAGGCTTATTCTCTGTGATTTCTGCTCAGAATGGGCAAGACTGTCCCATTTCCTCAGGGCAGGCAGCTGCTGTGCCCTGCTGGGGCTGCAGATGTGGGCTGTGGGTCCACCAGCCCTTCAGCTCTCCTCCCCAGCGCAGATGAGCACTGCAGCCCCTGCACATCCCTCCTCCTCTTGCACAGATGGTTGCCGGGGTTTCTCTTTGGCTGCTGCTTTTGGGCCCAGCTGCAGGAGGGCTCTGCTCCAACACAGGCTCAGCTGGGCAAGCACAATGGCAAAACAAAGGGCCGCTCGCTGGGGATCTAAGCTTTTTCAGCCCCGTTTCCTTTTCCAATGTTTTCATTTCCTACGAGTGAAATGCTGCTGAAAGGAGGACACTGTGGCTGTGGCTGCTGCCATAGGCATGGGGCTTGGATGTCACTAGCTGCTGCTTCATCTGGGTCAGGGGTTTCAAAGGGGCCTTCACTCATCTCCTCCCACAGAGATAATATTTCTTCTTAGGTTTACCCAAGCAATCAGTAGAGACCTGGGTTCACTCTACCTCAGAAACAACTGGCCTTGCCTGGCCCATGTTCCTACAGCTGATCCCAGAAGAGGCACCAGACATCCTGGAGCAAGTGCAAGCAAGACAGAGCCTTGCAGGGGCTTCTTAATTTTTAGCATTTGCTTTGCAGTTTTGAAGGCACCCAGAAAACCCAAGGATACACTTGGCAAGTCAGGAGGAACTGGGGTAGCTTGTGCTTTGACAATTACAGTGTGGGGCTGGAAAGAGGAGGAGGGCATAAAGTGGCTAATTTATAGCACGGCTTTACGACAACGAGGGACTAGGGGAAAGTTCTGCGTTGGAGAAAGGGAAGCTGTATTCCTTTAATAGCTTTTTGGCAGGTCACATTATCCTTACCGGAGGGAGAAGGTGTTAATCTGCGCATTGGCTAAGGAAGGAACTAACATTCCCTGTCTTTAGAGGACCCTTTGAGCTAAAGCAGACCGAGCAGAGCCGCGAGCGGGAGATTCCTCCGTGCCGGCGGGCCCCGGGGAGGCGCGGTCCGGCCGCGCTGCGCGGTCCGGCCGGCAGAGGGCACTGGCGGAGCGGGACTGGCTGAGGGCCCCGCCGGGCCCAGCAGCACCTGCTCGGCCCAGGCCCAGAGCGCCCGCGGCTTGGGAACGTCCCTCAGGGCTCTCCCCATGAGGGCACCGGCTACAGGAGTGACCAGTGGGGTCCTTGGGCAGACCAAATCTCTCCTAAGGATGGATCTCTTCCATAGGACGGGGATGGAAGTAAGACGCCTCTGAGGAAAGAGTCTGGGAATGTGGCACTTTTCTTCCCCTCTCCCATCCACCAGCCTCCATCCAGTGACCTGCACTTTGAACAGCCACTGAACAGCTGGGGGAGATGGGGATTTTTGGAGCCAGAACACCATCCCCATGTCCCTTGGCTGACTCTGGCCAGGACCCACATTTCTGGGGGACCCACCCTCTTGCAGCCTGCAGAGCCCTCACTCCCGTTAGCAAGCAGGTTTGCTTTATTTCAAGTTAACAAAATGACATGGGCTGCATTATTTGAGCTCAGGACCCTCCTCGACCTGTTGGCCGCTGTTTCCCAGCACTGCACCTCTTCCCAAGGAAGGGAACCAGCCAGCTCTGCCTGGAACCTGCAGCTCCAGCACCGGCCGGCAGCTCATGCCGACGGCGTGGGCAGAAATACCGTATGCAGCTGGGGATGGCAGGGAGGGAAACACAGGTCCGTGGGGCAATGGCAGCAGCTGGTCCCAACTTGCACAAGGGTTGCAATGGGGCTGCAACCCAGGAAAAAGCTCTTCCTTGGAGCCCCTCAAACCACGAACGGCAGGAGCAGCACATCGCTGGAAGAGACTGGTTTGCTCCAGTAGCCTCTTTACAAGCACCAAGGGACAGCTGTTTGGGGACCGCTGGGTTTTTAAAAGGCCGCTTACGAGCTTTAACACTGCGCTGGGGGAGAGGGAAAGGAGAAGGGGGGTCAGGGAGGGGTGTTTGCATTGACTGCTTAGGACTTAAAGCTGTAAACCTCTTCTTCCCTCTCTCATTGCTGGGACATTTTTATTGGCGAGATGAAGGGAGACAGAGCACAGCTCCACAACTTGCTCTTCTTCTAGAGGTTAATGACCCAGTTAGCAGCTCTTGGCTGCATTTCCCGACATTTTGCAGACATCAAGACCCGTCTCCCTGCCAAGTACATTCTGTTCCCTGGAGCTCGGCCAATGCATCTCAGATTACTATGTAATGCGACAAAGAGGGAGAGCTAGAGGTGAGGGTGGGGGCTGGAGGGGAGATACGGGAGCTGTTGGGGAGGGGGCAGGAGAGGGTGGGAGAAGGGGAAACACCACTTCTAAATTTAACAGCTAAGATGGAAATGAAGCTCCCAAGGTGCTTATTTGCTGGATAAAACGTGAATCCCAGGATGAATTGGAGTGATGCTTCTGGGAAACAGATGCAATCAGCAAATAATTCCCCCCTAGGGACTGTGCAGGCCTGTGCTTCCTGGATCTGCTGACAGTCGAGCTCTGCTTCTGATGCCCTTGTGCCCAGGACAAATACTGCTGGGGAACTGGGGCTGCTTTCCTGAATGACAGTCCAGTATCCCAAGAGGAACAGGGGTTTAGACAGTAAAATGGGGAATGGGGAAATTGAAGAGGATGAAATTCCTGCATGGTGTTTTATTTATCTTTTTGCACCCAGAGTACACGATGCTTGCTCAGACACACTGTGCTTGGCGAGCCTGGCTGCTCCAGATCCTGACGCTTTCACAGTAAAGGAAGGAAGGTCAGACCATGGGGAAGGCTCTCCTGGCTGTAGTTGAACTTGTGGCTTGCAGAGGGGCTGAGCTGCCAAACTGGTTGGTAGCTGGTGCCTGCCATTGTTAGAAACCAACCTGATCCCGTGCTCCACACATGCCCTCGAGCCTTTCCCCAGTCTGGTGTCCTCTCCCGAGCCATACTGGGGCCTTCCCCTGTAGCTCTGAGGAGATCCCGTGGCCATAACATGCACTACAATGCCCTTGGCCCTTGCAAACCTTTCCTCACACACTTCATGTGCCATGTTTCCGATTAAAACCACATTGTTTTCTAGTTGTTTCTCTGAACCAGAGACCCTCACATGTTGGCAGTGTTGAAAATGAAGCTTGGGGTCCTGACCTGAAAGGAACTCTTGCAATCCCTCCTCTCCCAGGCTGGCATCTCTGTTCCAGTTTCCCCATGGTACTTAGCTGCAGTATCTCCTACTAATTCAGCTCTGGACATTTGGAAACTTCAGAGTTCAGAGCTGCCTTAAAAGCCTTCCAGCCAGACCTGCAGACCCATCATGCCCTGGGCTGCTGCCCCACTCTGATGATGTGTCACAAGCCTCTCTCCACTCAGGGCACAGTTTCTGGCACAGTTTCATGCCTGTTCTCAGCCCAAACCTTTGCCAGGTCTGGGGTTTCTTTCCTTCCCACCTTCTACACTTGTGTCAGCTCCACATTGGTGAGCGTATTGCTCATAGACATCCCAGCCGTGGGCACCTCTGCCTGAGACTACACTGATGTAGGAGCTCATCCAGTTCCATTCCTGCTGGGACATAGCCATGGTCCCAGTTCCAGCACATTCCCTCTGCTGTTCTGCCATATCTGCCTGCTCCCACATTATCTTTCTTGGTCCAGCCTGGCCTCTGGGGCACAGGGTGCGTGGAGTCTCTTCTCCTGCTGCTGGCCAATGCCTGGCTGAGCCTCCTGGCACAGCCCACGTGCAAGGAGATATTCTGGGAAATGAGCCTTGAGGGTCATCTCTGACCAAGGGGTGTGGGCAGGCTCAGGAGCAGGGCATCAAGGTGAGACCCCACCAAGCAAAGTAGGAGGCCTGGGGAGAGCTCAGGGAGGGGGCTGACGCACACAAGGTGTCAGAGCCTGCTCACAGGACCTGAGAAACCCCACAGCCTGGCCCATGCCAGCAGTGCTCCGAGCCCTGCTCTCTCTCCGTGGCCTGGCAGGCACGGTCAGGCACGGTCTGCTCCCTGAGCTGAGAGAAATGGCTGTTCCCCAGCATTGCACCAGGTTGTGCACCAGGCAGAGGATCTGCTCCTCCCTTCAGAGATGGTTGGATGAGGCCAGGCTTCCAAGCAACATCTCAAGGCTCCCACCCTGCTCCACAGGCTGGAGAGCCCCCTTTGTGCCATCCTTCAGGATGCTGCCTTATGAAATGGGAAGAGAAGAAACACCAGAGGTCTGCCTCAGTGGGACTGCTTATCTTCCTGGAGCAGAGCCCTCCCTCCTCTTCAAGGAATTATTTCCTTGAAAGACACAAACCAGCACAAAACTGCCTCTTGCTCAGCTCCATCTGCCATGTGGGGGCTGGGTGCTGGGAGGCCATGGTTGCTCACTGCATTTGCCAGACAGACATGGCTTTAGGAGGATTTTTCACTATGTGCAGCCTAAGAAAGAGATGAGTTGGGCTTACCTGTACCAGGAGTTGCTCGGGAAAGTCCTGAAAAAAAAAAGGGAGAATGTTTTTATGGAGAAGAGCTTCCTTAAAAACCACAGCAAATGCCAGCATCTAAAAATCTGGCACTGTGTCACTTCACTGCTGAGCATCTGTCCTCAAGGCCAGCCCCACAGACAGAAAGTCATCAGGGGCCAAATCATCCTTTAAAACATAAGCCTTGGCTAACCACAAACATGCAACCCTCCTGACTTCTAAGCCACATGTCAGCCTCTTCCAAAGGATGAGAAGGTTCAGACACAGTTCCGTGATATGGGACAGCTGGGAGGAGGGCACAGGTTGCAGGAAGGAAGGAGCCCCTCCTCCCCAAGAGGAGCTGGGTAGAGGCATACACCAAGTCTCAATTTTCCAGCAAAGTCATCCCAATCCTCTTCATGTGGCTCATGTCCTTCCCCAGCAGCTGCCCAGTGTGAAGATGGGCCCATATCACACACACTGTGCTTGATGCTGCACAAACCTAGCCTGCAGTGATGGTCTGGGCCCCACACCCCTGATATTTGACTGCCCAGAAGAGCTGCTACAAGTAAACAGCTTCCAGCCAGCAGGGAGGGCACAGATGTGGAAATGGGGAAAAAGCTGCCAGAGGCATCTCAGCATCTGGTACAATGCTAAGAAGACTCGGGCTGGGACAATTATGGTTTAAGTATTTCTATTACCAATGCCAGAAGAAGTGTTTGAACTCTTATCAGGGTAAATAATAGCAGGTAGGTGACTGCTAAGTAAGTTCACATTGCTTTTTTTCCACTCTTCCCTTTCCCCACAGAACTGTGCTGGAGTGGAAATCATTGCAGTAAACAAGCATCAAGGCCAACAAATATAAAAGTTCCATTCCTATTTGCGGGGCAGGGTGAGCCAGGCAAGCACCAGCTGGGGCCTCCATGTGACTTGTAGTAGGGAAGTAGGGACATGAGAAGGGAAGCTCATCCCAAAAGCTGAGACTTTTTGTTGTTTCAGGAGACCAGCAAAGACCTCATTTCTGTCTCAATTAGATCTTGAGTTTGTCAACTCACAGAAACCATCAGGCAGTTTTTGTGCAATAACTACAGCCAGTCCTGGCTCAATTCCTCACCTTTTAACATCACCCCCAGATTCACCTGCCTCAGGAAGAAGAAACCCAAGTTAAGCGCAGCTCATTAGTCCGGTGTGGGCAGAGCAGCAAACAGTAAGCTTAAAGTGCATCAAGAAGGATTTAACTTTGGCCCATCTCTAAAGATTTTAAATAACAAACACAGTTAAGCACCGAAATCATTGCCTGGGGGGTCTGTGAGGTCTGTATACTCAAATGCTTTCAGGAACAGGACAGAGGCAAACACCTGTCTGAGCTAGCTTGGGTCCAGCTAGCAGGGTATGGATCAGTTGAACTCTTGTCATGTGTTGGCCTTTCCCAGCTCAATTTCCAGATGTGTTGGTTGAGCTTCTCTCTGTCACATGCTGACCCCTCCCTGTGTTCACAGGATGTGTGGCACACTGCTGAGCCTGGTGCTGAGCACGTTGGGCTGACTTGTGAAATCATATTTTCCTTGAAATTAGGATGAGTTTTGAGATATACATAAATGTATAGAATAGCAGAGAATATTTATTAGGGTTGAAATTAACATTGATTGATTTGATTTTTGCTGATTAGGTAATTATGAGAACTAAAGGGGTAATCACCTTTTCAACGAGGAAATGAAACAATCATCCAAGCTAGACAAGTCCTGAGTTTCTAATTTGAGCAGGAAAAAAAAAAAAAAGCTACAGGTGAAGAGGAAAGAGCAGTATCTATGCCCTGTTGCCTTTTACTCTCAAAGCAGACATGGCCTGGGACTTTTCCCACCATGGTCATCTCAGTTTTATCCATCCATATGTCTTGGGAGATGGACTGAGGAGAGATGCAAGGGTTAGCCTGTGGAAAGCAATGCAAGGTGCAGATTTTGGCTTAGTTCACCACACCCAGAGGAGGAAGGAGCCTTTCCTACCCCTCTCCACCTCACCAGAAGCATGAACATATCTGTCAAGTCACTGACAGCTGAACATGAGCCTCACAGGAGCAAGTCCTACCTCACTCCCCTCCCTAGACAGTCTCTTGCACACCTGCAGCCCCTCAGGGACTCTGTCTCCCAGGCTGATCCCCAGACTGGCTCACTGGATGTTTGGGGTATCTCCAGGCCTCATGTCTTGGTGCTCTGGGATTTCTTCTCCAGTCAGCAACAGGGAAAAATGCCACCAAGGGCAGACCTTGGCCTCACACCCTGTGCCCACAATTGCCACCCCTTGTTGCCTTGTGTAGGGCTTGGACACCCATACAAGTGCCATGATCCCTTGCCCCTATTCCCACCTGTGTCATAATGGAAGCCAGGATGAAGCGACACTCTGGAAAGCCAGCTACCATCAGTCCCTTAAAAACAAAACAAACAAAGGCCTTTTCTCAGCTGCAGTGGCATGAACAGAGCTTAGTCCCCCTGGCCACTCCAGGATGTGGCTGAGATATATCAGGGAAGAGCAGCTGTCAGCATGGATGTGCCTAAAATTAGCTCAAAGAGAAGGTTTCCTCAATTTATTTATTTATTTGCTCCTTAAAAGGCCCCTTCTTATTAGATGCAAATTCAGCACAAAAGCTTCAAGCCAGTACAAAGGCACTGCTAATATTTTTCAATTACACTGAGGGGAAGGTCACAGCACTTTGCTTTTGAATTTCTGCTTGGGATAGAAGCTGTGGCTAAAGGAGCACTCTTTGGAGATTTGGCTAAAGGAATGTATTTGGAAGAGTTGCACCATGTGCAGCAGGTTCAGCTGGTGAGCTGGTGTGCTGGAGACCCTTGTGTCACTTTTTTGAGGTTTCAGGTGCCCCAGGAAGAAATCATGGAGAATGGGTCTCTGACCTTAATTTATTGCCTTTCAGATATACACACACTCCCTTCCAAGAGGTTTTTTATTATACATTATGGCATCTGCTTTAATCTGTTTGCCAGCTTATGCTTACCATCCATCTTTCCCATCCTCTGATAATTCCAGGACTCCCTCATCAATTTCACTCCCTCAGACTTTAGGGGAAGAAAGGGAGTGGAAAAATCTTAGAGATACTAAATTTCAGCAAGTGTTTTGTCAAAGAAAATTACCTCAATAAGGCCTTTTGTAAGCAAAATACTGGAGAAAGAATTTCCTCCTTCTTGGAAAAGAATCCACATATGGCATAGATCCATAGGAAGGCAGACTTGATCACTTCTGCTGCTCAAGGGACCATCTGTTAATTATAGAGCTCACAGGACTTCATCTCATCACCTCTGGCTCATGACCCAGAGACTGAACTGGGAATACCTATACAGACATTTAGAAGAGCTGAAAAATAATAAAAAAAAGAACTCTAGGGAAAAAACAACCCCAAATTTCCTTTAGTGTACCTAGTCCATCCCACACATCGCAGAAAAATACCTTAATATTTCTTTGTGCATACTCCTGGGATGGGCTTTGCAGGACACAAGTGTGCCTTCAAACTCCTCCTGACACCTTGCTCTGCAGTGACCCACAGACGTCCAGGAGCTGAGTCCTGAGGTTGCTGCCTTTGTGCAGGGTTGCTGCTCTCCCAGCAGCTTCTTCCCTTTCATTTCCTACTCTGCTTACTGTATTTTTTGAGGTGAGGAATTGCTATCACCATTGCAGGGAGGTGCTGGGCAAGCCTGGGGCAGGGGGCTGCTCCTGCAGCGTGGAGAGGTGATGAATGAAGTGAGCAGTGAGTGGCAGCAGCACCTGGGTCACCCCTGTACACAGTCATGCTGTAATGCAACATCTCTGGAGTAGGCCGGTCAAGTTATGCCACAATCTTTGTCTCCTGACTCTGAAAGTATTTGAACCCAAGTCTGTGATTTGTCCAAGCAGGGGATGCCATGCACTACAACTCTGTGCTACCAGAGCAGAAATCGTAGGTGGGCTGGAGCACTGGCTCCGAGCAGGCCATTCCATCTACAGCCAATCTCCATATTCAAGGTCCAGGAGCAGAGTTTCCAGGCTGCAGCTTCAATTTTTTCTGATCCACCAAGTCAATTGGATGCACATGCAAGCTGGATCCTGAGATTTTATGGCTTTTTAATGAGAAGGTGAGAACTATTCACACTTTGCATAAGCTCTTCCCTAGAGACAGCAATCCTGTTCAGGGTTAAAGGCCTGCTAGAGCTACCTGCTTACGATATCTTTATCCTCTTGTCCAAGAAAGTACATCAGAGAGCAGAAAGTCAGGCATCTCAGAGTACATCTGGCTTAAAAGACCAGCCCCCCTGCCTCATATCGCTCATCCGTCTGTTCTGATGGCATCAATGTTGCTCTGCACAGCACTGCAAGTACTGCTGATTGCAGAGCAGCAGCAGGAAGATGGGAATCATTAAAGCAACTCAGCCAAAGCTCTGTAATTAATTAGTTAGAAAAGCATCTTGGCGTTATTAGAGAGGCCTCAGCAGAGGAAGCGACACCTCTGTTCGAACAGATTCACCTTTCGCCAGAGCTGCTGCTGTGATGTTTGACATTGTGCTGGTGTAAACAGAAATTAGAAGCCAGTGTGACAGGGAGAGGAGCCACTGGCAGGCTGTGCCCTTGGCCAAGGCTGTGCTGTGTGCCAGGAGGTTTCCATGCTTTGCTGGCAGGCAGAAATCAGATCCTGGAAAAAGCTCAGGTAGGGATGATTGCTGCTCAACCAGGAGGACCCTGATTTCTGCTGTGATTAAAAGCAAACCCAGATTTCCCAGGGTACTGAACATGAAGCTGGTTATCCAGGTGTTTGTGATTATAAACACAAACTAAATGTACACAGAAATGCCACCCAAGACTCCAGGAACTAGTGTCTCCTGGGATATAGACACATGCAGGATGCTGCTGTCCCTGGCAAATGTGCACAGTTTGGCTGCATGGAGAACTGGGCCATGCTTAGAACTGCATATTCATGGCATGCAAATGTTATGCTATTGCAAACTCCCACAGCTGTCATCAGCACACAGCACCATGGCCGTGAGCCCCAGAGATGGAGTAACATCCTATGGGGAGCAGCAGGAGGCTGCAAGATCTATGTGTTGCTGAAAATAAGAGCATCAAAAGGAAAATGGAAACACAAGACCAAAATAGTCAGGACTGGTTTAAGGAGTCTTAATTTCCTCTGGGGCAGGCAGCCAGGCAGTGTGGCTGGTCCACAGGGCGAGGAGGAGGTGGCAGGAGGCCTGGCTCTCCCCCTGACCTGCCGTCATACTTTGGCAATTCTTTTTACCATAGGCTAATTTTGCCCTTTCCCCACTTGGTACTGTCAGCCTCTAGGAATTCATAAGTCTTGATTTGGGCCTCCAAACACCATGATTTTGGCTTAAATATCCAGAGCACATACGTATGAATTACGTGACTTTTTGAGTGGCCTTGTGGTTTCTGACTCTTTACAGATCATATTTCCAACTGAGCAGGTCAGATTTTTTTTATTATGATTATTATTATTTTAAATGAAAGCCAAGAATTTCACATAAACAAAGGGCTCTGGCAGCTTGAGCTGGCAGCATTGCCCGCTCTTCATGTGTCCTGCCTGCTTAGACAGGGAGCATCTGAGGCATGGGCTGTCACTGGCCTTGTCTGCAGAGCATCAAGGAAAACCTCCTCAGTCTCATCTGGCTTCCTGAACTTCCCCAGGGCAACTGAGAAAAACCAGGCATTCCCCAGATGTTTCCAGTGAGGGCAGTAGTTGGGATAACTCCTGAGTTTGGCCTGCATTAGAGCACAGGTAAGCAACAGACTGGAAGTGAACAAGGAATGGGCTCCTGAAGAAGATTTTTGGTGCATCCTATTTTGGCCCTGCTGTTGCAGCCTTGCCAAGGTGCTTTAAGTGCTCTTCAAAGCAGCAGAAAGATTAAGCTCTGAGAACTTGTCCACGCGTGCATTTGCTGGTCTCTGTGCTGAGTTTCAGATGAGGTCCTGGGCATACTCTGGGCAGAAATTTGAGAGGAAGATTGTGCATAATTGAACTGCCTTGCTCATCCCATGATGAGCAAAAAACTCCAATTCCCCATGTTTTACCTTGCAGATGTGTGGGTACACCATGGGAAGCTCCCTGTCTATACAGCTGTCACCAGCTCTGCAATAACAAGAATCATGGCTTTGGCTCTCAGCTCTGAAGCTCATCTCTTCACATTCTGAAGTGAAGATTTCTCTGAATAAATGAATAAACTGAGATCTTCAAATGAATGACAGATTCTTCCTCAGGTCAGCTTTGCAGAGGAAGCAAATATTTCAGGAGAGTATGGTTACTGCTCATAGCTCTCTGGAGCCAGCCTGCTAACTCCTCTGCGGTGGCTGTAAATCTGGTGGTGGTTCAGCTGAAGGACCTCACAGATGCTATTTCAGGCTGATATAATGTACCATAAATGGGATTGAAAGCACCCATCTATAGCAGACAAAGCCTTTCTGCTTCATTCAAACACCGAGGAAACCGACCATTGTATATATGCACAGTTGGGATTCATCCAAAAGTGAGTGGTAGCCAGAAGAATTTACACATTCCCTGGCTAGGGAACATGTTGATTTCAGAAGGCAGCAAAGGTAACACAAGGATACAGGGAGACTCCCTTGCCTGGCATTTAGTATTTGAATCTCATCCTTTGACTCACCATGAAAGGGAAGAGTCCCAGAAGGACAGAAGAGCCCCCATCACAAATGATATTCCTCATTTAGAGGCAACAAGGTATTTGGTCTCCATGGGATGGCAAGAAAACAGAACTTGCTCTTGGGGTCTCTGGCTGAATTTTAGGGGGTGCCTATCTAGCTGAAATGATACATCAATAAACATAATATTACAATCAGCTTGTGGAATGCATTTCTATAAAGCCCTGCAGAGAACCAAAGGGGTCCAGAAAGGTTTTTTGGGAGGGGGCAGTTCTTCAATTGTCAGTACAGGAACAGCCACCAGCCCCCTGTGTATTGAGAGAGGTTAAAAGCAATCACTTAACCCCAAATGAGCACCATGGCAGGGGGAGCCTGTCTTCAATGCCTGAGAATATAACTAATTAACGGGGTCAGGGAAGGGTCCCCTGGGGCAGACAGCCACACCAGGGGTACACAGGGTGCCTGGGAAGCTGTGCTCCTGGCGCTGGTCCCACGTGGGCCACAGAACCAGAGGGATGCGTGGTCTGATCCTCCCTGGCAGTTTCTGTGCAAAATGGGGCCAATTTGCTGGGAAGCTTCCCACTCCCAAGGAGGGAAGAGGTGGGCTGCGAGTTTAACAAACATTTTGGTATTTGGAAGTCATTCCCAGCTCTCATTTAACACACAGACTGCATTTCCCGTTGCTAACTGGCAGCAAAGAGCTCATCAACATTTAAATAAGAGGCTTGTTAATGCCAGCGTGAGGCAGGTTTGCATGCCAAGGCTGGCTAAGGTTTCGTGCCAAGGATTTTCTAAGAGAATTTCTCTAGGAAACTCCTTTAAAAGGAATAATTCACTAGTGGTTAAAGAGAGTGAGGGCTTAATTTGAAGAGGTGCTGAGCTGGTTAAGTCAAATGGATGGTGCAAGAGCTGAAAGCCTGTGAAAATCAGACTCCAGCTTTTAAATCAATTAACTGAAGAATGGCATGGGGAGTTTTGCAACTGATTATGCTTTCTTCAATGCCATAACTGAAGGAAAAAAAGGCTACACATAACCTCTTCCTTCAGTGTCACTGACTTGCCCATGGTAAATACACTCAGGTGGGGCTTTAAATGCATCTGTTACCCGAGTGTGGGAATATAAGGCTCTACAAATGGTTAAATGTTCCTCAGTGCAGGGAGGATGTGCAATATTTGGCTCTGTTTCTAGATGTCAAATGAGTCCTGTAAATTAAAAAGCATTTTTACTCTGGGACTTTGTTTTAAGCCTTCCATATGGAGACGAAGTCCTCATCCCAGAGCCACTGGAGAGGAAGGGTGGCAGTTTTGGCAAAGCTGGAGGGTCCTGTGCTATATGTCTCTATCGCATGGTTTATTGCCTTTCCTTGTTCCGTCACAGAACAGGAGTAATGTCCGTGGTGTCGGAATGTGCACATGGTAATTGGCTTTTGCTGTAATTAAATGCCTGGGTGCCAGCGTTTAATCAGCCGCCAAAGCCGTTTATTGCCTCATATACGGCTGCACCACGAGCATTACCCCTTAATTAGTTGCTGAAATAGTGATGATTTAGCAGCGTCTTTATATTTATACTTTAAGACAGCAGATTCAGTCCAACACCAACAATATGGCAAGATAAAAAAGCAGACCATTCTGCTATGCAATGATTTGGGTTTATTTATTTTTCCTTACCTCATGGAAAACAGTGTCATGTGTAACTCCTGGTGACACCGCACTGGAGGTGGTTAGCACTTGGAAAGCAGTTGCTGTGTCTCTGCTCTGCTCCAGGGCTGACCTTGTGTATTTTCAGTGGATTCAGTATCCATAAAACACTGTCCCCAAAAACTCTCAGCAGCAAAAGAAGAGTAGGCTTCATCCTTTGACTCACCATTACCAGGACTGCCTGGTGGGGCAGACCAGAGGCAAAGAGCTCCCAGTGTTCCTTACAGGAGCTCCCTGGGGAAAGGAATTCCTTGGTGTCACTGGAGTAGTGGCACTTTGTTTTGCAGGACCCTGGCAGGTTGTGACATGTGACACTTATAGTAGCAGCAATTCTTCTGACATCCTCACCCAAACTCCTCCCTTTCCCCTGCTTGTTTTTGCAGCTGTGCTGGTGCTGTGTGGTGCAGCCACTTGTATTTTGGGGGGAATGGAGCAGTGAAAGTGCTCACTCACTTGTCCATTCATCTTCTCCATTTCAGTTGTCTGAAAGGAAGAGGTCTGGTCTGATCTTTCAGAGTCCCTTGAAAGTTAATGGCATGAGAGACACTTCTCCAGAAAGCAGTTCACCCTGCCATGAAGAACCTGCTAAAGCTTTGTTGGAGGAATGGCCCTTTGAAAGTGTCCATTTCTCGCAGAGGGAGCCCTGCTGCTCTCTTGCATTGGGCTCTTCCCTTCCAAATTATTATTCCAAACCCTTCCCAGAACACCAATACTGCCTGCTAAGACCAGCACTGGGACAGATTTATCAGCCTTCCAGGTTTCTTTTCTGCTTTGAAAACCCCTGAGGAAGCTCAGGAAGCCTCTGAAATCTTCTCAAAATTGACTAGAAAGCAAAGTAAAACTCCCTTTTTGACACAGAAGTCATACAGGAGGTTAGCCTAGATAAACATCAGGATAAACATTCCAGACCCACCTTTCTTCAAAGCCAGGTGGTTTAAATCTCCAGTAGCCACAGCTGGAGACAGCAATTGCACCAGGAGAACACAGGGGTACAACTGCTTTTCATCTGACCAGGGGTGTCATCAACAGAGCCAAAGAGTCTCCTCTGCCTCCATCCCTCCCTTAGTCCTGGGACAGCTCCCATTGGCACCTGGAATTTAGATACACTTCACTCCCAAAGCTTCCATTGTCTTCAAAGGATTCTGGTAGCCTTTGAATGCAAAAAAACCAGTGCCAAACTATGGAATTAATAGCTCCCCCACCCTTGGCCCTAGCCTCTGGCCCCTGGCCTGCTAATGCATTTTGATTTGTGTGTGGACAACGTATCCCTGGAAGTTTTCCATCGTAACAAGTTTAGGAAAAAGTACCTTGTGCTATAAAGGAAGTAATAATATCGAGTTTGGAAAACTATATAGCAGTTTGAATAGACTTGAAAGCCCACACCATCACACTCCCTTTACTGCCAAGACAAAGCCTGTCAGACTCCCGTGTCCTGTAGGAACAAGCTGCAGTTTGTCCTTTCCTGAGGGAGAACACAGGCCCTTCCTAAAGTCCCCTGGGGAAGGGGAGGAGGAGCTGGGAGGGAGGCTGCTGCCTGCACCTCCTTCCATGGCTAACAAAGCATCCCCTGACAATACATAACCTACTAAAAAAGTCCTTCATTTTCCCTGGTGGTGGGAAAGTAAGGATGGGATTTAATTTACAGCCAAGAATATTTGGTCTGGACAGTAGGAGAGACTGTTTAAGGGGCAAGACAACACTGCCATAGAGACGACTGCCAGGGGAGGTTTTGGGATCTCCATATGCAGATGTCTTCAAGGTCACACTAGATAAAGTTTTCTTGGGAATAACATGGAGGGAATGGGTTTAGCTGTATTATGTGGCTTGGGATCTTTCTACAACTCTTAAAAATTCTTTTAAGATAACCACTTGTGCTAATATGGAGGACAATATTCATCTCATCTAACCCTAAAGGCACAAACCAAACCTGTCTCAGATGCTTACCTCAAGAAAAGATGCAGCTTCTCCCCTGACAGGAGGGCCACCTTAGACAACACAGGCTTCCAGGCTGCTAAAGTTCATGGAAATTAATCGCATCCTGAAGATGATCTGTGCAGCACTGTGCAGTAGATTTCTGAGAGAAAAGGGCTTTTATAAAAAGGTCCAAGGATAGAAAGGGGAGAAAAGAAAAGGCTATAAGCAGGGTGCAGACATTTAGCATGTATCTGTGGAAAAGCTTACCAGGATACACTGGACTCCCCACCACATGAAGCATTTCTGTCAGGGAGAGCCTTCAGTGCTGCACCAGGTTCTTTGGCTGGAGAGGTAGAGGTCAGCCTGTGTGGGGACCAGTGATATTTCTTAAGCAGATGGGAACAATCCTGATTATTTACTGCAATGATAGCCTAGAAACAAGTTTCTAGAAAGGACAGGCTTTGCTAACCACACTTCTTTCTACTCTGCCCATAACAGTTTGAATAATGTTCCTCCATTCAGCTGCAGAGCAAGGTGTCTGGCTCAGCTGTCACCCCATCACAACACAAATTTGAGAACACTTGTGGACCCCTTCTCCTACAACCCAACTCTGCAGATTCCTGCATGGGTTAGGAATGGAGTGCTCTCCACTGCAAAGACACACATTTTTAGGAACAGTGCAAAATTCATCAAGACACGGTCAGTATGACAGGGGTGAGCCTCTCTTGGGACACTTTTGCATCCTTACTTCACCCAACAGTAAAACAGGCTATTGAATTAGGTATGCTCAGGAGCCACGCAATGAAATTTTGAACCTAAAAGAGAAAAAGGTGAAGGATATGAAGCATAATTGCAGGTGGAGGCTGGAAGAACGTAAATACCATTCAACTTGAAAAAATAATTTCACACGCTAGCAAACAAAAATGAAATTTATAAGAAGTTTATTGGATTGGTAAAATGTAATAAAAAAGCATTTGTGATACTTCTTCTGCAAAGAAAAAAGGCATCTGGCGATTTTGCATATTTATTTTCCCTTACAAAACATTTGAAAAGCATAACTGATAAAAAGGATAACAACCGAAAGAGCAGAGCAAAGAGGAAAATACATCTCAATATAATTGGATAATGCATAATAAAAATACAGAAAACACATGCTTAAAACAGCTTTCATTCTCTTACTGTAAAAAGTCATTTTACGTGTTGAATAAAAAATATATGCCGGTTGCTCTGAAAATTGCAGTTTAGAAGAGGTAACTAGCTGAGAACAAAATATATATATCTATATATATTTATAAATATAGAAAATGTGTATATGCTGCATCTGTCCTCAGAACAAATTGGAATAAATGATTTTCAATTCATGCACACAAGTTACCAGAGAAAAAAACTTCATTTATTGCTTAGCAGATTGATCCTGTAAGGTGCTGATTGCATTTCCTGAGTGCCCTCAAAGCCCTGTGTAACTAGTCAGTGAGGGAGACAAGTGGCCTGATGGGTTCAGTGACAAGGGAGGCTACTCAGCAGCTCACAGGAGGTGCACTCAGCAAGTCACAGGAATTGG